TTCCTTCATTTCGAGGCCAGTGTAACTTTGGGTTCAACTTCCTGGGTCCAAAAAGCCAGCTGCCACCACCCCGGGGGCCGAGGCGTCTCTGAGGACGCCCTGAACACATTCAGCCTGGGTCTCCTCTCGGAAACAACTGAGGCCAGGCTGCCTGAGTGTGGACGGGGCGTGGGGAGTGGGCCTGGGACACAGTGGCCACATCATTCGTGTTGTTCACTGTTTCCATTTACTCTCACTGCACAGCTGCCAGTGTGCACGCCTCCCAAACTGAAAACGCCAAGCTCCTAACCTTCCCCTGCTTAAAAACATGCAGCGTGTGGAATTCCGTTTGTCACATCTCAACTTTATTCCTTTTATCCAGGAGCCCCCTTGCGCAGGTTTCACCCTTGCTGTGATCAGAGAGAAGACGGGCCTCCCTTCAAGCTCCCTCCCCCGCCCGGCTATTCGGCATCCCCAGGTGAGGAGGCCCAGGGTTCAATTACGAGTGGGGAAAGATGAAAGGGCAGGAAATGGCTGCTGTGGCCCCAGAGGAAATATTTGCAGAAAAAGGAGCACAACAGCAAATAAAGTGCTAATTAATGTCCAATTCCAGGGCTGATAAACGGACCACAGCAGTGGGCAGCACCACGCCGCCTTCTGAGAGGAGAACACAGCTCTCCCCACCGTTCCAGCCACAGTGGGTTTGGAAGGACAGGGCCTTCCTCGCCTGCCCATAACCTTCAGGGTGAGTGTTCCAGGCTGATTTTCCTCGGGAGGATCTTTGAACCTTCCTGGGGTATAGGGGAGCTCTTTTTCCCTCTGGGTACAGGGAACTTTCATGGCTCCTTTAAACTCTGCCCCAGGCTCCAGGCGACCAAGGCACTTTCTGTGGGTGGGTGCGGTGGGTGGGGAAGGAGGGATGGAGGTGGGGAGGGGGCGGTGTTCGGTAGGAAAAAAAGATCCTCCCCTTCGAACTTTGCTTAACATTTCCTGGGACTTTTACATAAGCTATAAAGAGAAGTTTGCATTTTTAGGAAAAATATACAAGAAAAGCTAGTATTTAAGAAAAGTTAATATTTTTCTTTACTACTGATATTTATTATTTTGTGTTTTATGTCGCGTGTGCATGGGTGGGTGGCCATTATTTCAGGAGAGAGAAGTGAAGAACGAGTGGAATCTTGCACTCTGCCTCCAAGTGATCACCCATCAGTACATTCAGATTCAAACGCGAAGTGGAAAAGATAAAAACCACGGAGAAGCTGCGTTCCTGCAGGCTCACCGTTCATGTAGACCTACTCGTTCCCCCGAGCACGCTGAGTCCAGCCTTGCAGATAAAGAATTTCATCCAGAAAGAAAAGGTATTTGGTAGATACTTTATTTTATGCAGTCATTTAATGTAACTTCACTTTAGGCCACAGTGAACCTCTCATGCAATAGGTTGAAATCTTGGGGGTGCGTGGAAGGGCAGCTGTATAGCTCAGCCCTGTATGTTGAAGTGGACCTTGTAAGTCTCACCTTTTCATCTACTAAATCTTTAGTACTGTTGAGTGAGAGTGTATGCTCCCAGTGTAGCAAAAAATACAGCTTCTGTGATCTTGCAATTGGTGCCCACATTTGACTAAACGTGTTGCGGAAGAACAAAATGAAAAGCCTCCATCAGCCAGCGGATGTCATGATAATTATTTCTGGTATGAGTATCAGAGAATCACATCTTAAGGTAGGGTATTTTGGGGAGGTGCTGATGAGTGAATGCCAGAAATAATAATCTGACATTAAGCCTTTGTGAATCTGACCAAATGAATGTCGAAGAAGAGAATTTATGGTGAAGTCAGATTGCATGCTATTTCATGAATGCACTTCTTTTAGAATGTAAATGACAGAAAAATTATTCATTATACCTATAATCAAACTACAAGTTTAATAGATAATGAAAATGCACACAGAAACTATTAAAATGACACCAGAAATATGGCTTCAATCAACAAAAGGCAAGACATTCAAAGTGCAAAAAAACTTTAACAAAAATGCTTTTATTGCTCCAGATCAGGAGGGCTCTTCAATGCTGGCAGCAGCTTAATGTCAGGGACTCTGCGTGCTCCAAATCTTTTGATAAAAAATCATGCCTTGGGAAAATCGTTTTTATGTAGTTGTTTCATGATTTGAGTATCACATAGGATTTTGCAGAATAATTTGGGAATAAAGTCACAGAGCAAAAATCATGAGAGCAAATGGTTACAAGATTGTTAAAAAAAAAAATCTAGTGTAGAAAGGGTATCGTTTCCTAAGAGGAGTCAAGTTTTTGTTTTGTTTTTCAAGACAGGATCTTATTCTGTTGCTCAGGATGGAGTACAGTGGTGTGATCACAGCTCACTGCAGCCTCAAACCCCTGGGCTTGAGAGATCCTCCTGCCTCAGCTTCCCAAGTAACTGGAATCACAGGTGCCCCCCACTGTGCCCCGCTACGTTTTTTATTTTTTGCAGAGATAGCGTCTCGCTATGTTGCCCAGGGTCATCTCAAACTCCTGTCCTCAAGTTATCCTCCCATCTTGGCCTCCCGACGTGTTGGGATTACAGCGAGCACAGGCCACTTAGCCGAGGACTTAGGCTTTAATGGGGGAAAGAGCTTTGGCTTCCCTTTGAATTTTCTCCTTTCCGTTTGAGCTTAATTGAATCTTTGATTTTTCACATGAAACACATCTCCAATCCATCTCCTTCCTGTATCTCCACATGTTCGGGGGAGTCTGAGTCTGAATCAGACCATGCTCTTGCTTTGCATTTGGGGGTCTTATGTGGCCTCATGGCATTGAAGAGACAGGAGAGCTGGCTGAAGCTGAGTGTCATGAGTAGGCCTTGCTGTAGGAAATTTGGAAAGAGCTGGTCATTTTCATCTGATTAAAGCTAGCTCCATGCAAACCTCACCAGGGATTCCCTGAAAATGACCCTTCCCCAACGGGCCACAGCATCGAGCTCCTTTGAGGATGCCAGCCCCGGGCCTGGGAGAAGCAGCTCGTGCCTCCTCTCTCTGTCTGCCTATTTGTGCTGCTGCAACAAAACACCAGAGACTGGGTCATTTATAAAGAACAGCAAGTTATCTCTCACAGTTCTGGGGGCTGGGAAGCCAAGATCCAAGTGCTGGCAGACTTGGTGATGGTGAGAACTTGGTCTCTACGTCAAGATGGTGCCTCTTGCTGGACCCCGCTGAGGGGATGAGAACCTGTCCTCATGTGGTGGGATGGATGGCAGGGTGGATTGGGGAGGGATGGGAGGGAGTATGCGGGTGGTATGGGAGGGTGGATGGGGGGAGAGATGGAAGGGTGGATGGGGAGGGCAGATGGGGAGGATTGGGAGGGTGGATGGGGGAAGAATGGGAGGGTGGATAAGGGGAGAGGTGGGAGGGTGGATGGGGGAGGGGTGGGAGGGCAGATAGGGTAGGGGTAGGGGAAGGATGGGAGATGGATGGGAGGGAGGGAAAAGCCCAGTTGCTTCCTTCCAGCCACAAGACTTCAGGGCCTCATCACTTCCTGGACCCCACCTCTTAACAGTGTTACTTTGGGAATTCCCTTGCAACATGGATTTTGGAGGGACATAAACGTTCAAACCATGGCAGCCCCATGGGCCCCCTCTTGCTCTCACCCCACATTTCTAAATGCTGAAGGTTTAATGTTTTAGGGGGAAACTTGTTCATCGTTTTTGCAAAAAGGCAACTTTGAATTCCAGTTTGGACCCGGGTAATATTCTCTTGTACGTAAACAATTTTCCTATTCCTTATGGCTTGGAATCGAACTGAATTTTGATTTTTGAAACAATTCATAGTGTGTGATGAATAATTGTAAGTGACTTTAAACAGTTAACAGCAGCCCCTCCTCTTCCTCTCCTGTGTGTCTTTTCTGATATTCCCATCTTATGAGAGGGTCGGGGGGCTTCCATATGTGCTCAGTGCTTAGCTCTTCCACCCCGAGTGTGAGTCCTGCTGTGCCACCTCCCGCCCTGCACCAGGCCCAAGGGTGCCCCCCATCAGGTCCCAGCCTTGCTCACCTACTCAACACCTTCTCTTCCCCCTCCGCAAGCTGTGTCCTCTCAGAATCCTAGGATGCTCCGTGCGTGACCCTGCTGCTACCCTGCTACTTCGCTGTTCAATGTCCGCCTCGGTCTCCTACCCAGTTCTCATTTCTCCTTCCATCAGATGCCTGCGTTTTATCCTTGAGGAAGCCCTTGGCTGCCTTTTCTTCCCAGGGACAGTGTGGCTGTGGATGGAGGTGGCCCAGGCCTGCTCTCTGGTGCCTGCCCTGGGCCAGCGAGGGCACCTGCCCTGCAGAAGGAGGCCCTCTTTTCTCACAGCCCAGACAATGGCCAGTACTGACCATAGGGCACTTCAGAGCAGGGTCCGAGCTGCAAAAGCACTTTGGCTTTGTGCTCTGGGCTGGACTTGTCCTGAGACCCAGTTCTCCAGGACCCCCCCTTCCTCTCCTGCACGCCCCGTCCTCGAAGGGGTTTCTTCTCGGTTCTTTCCTAAAGCGTGTGTTCCCACATCCCCCTCTCAGGATTTGCTTGTAGGAAACATTATTTAAAACAGAGATTGTTTTTTAAAAAATTCCTGCTCTTAAAATTATTTTGGGGTGCTAGCTTTAAGGTTTCACCAAGGAAAGAATAACTTTTTTTTTTTTTTTTGGTAATTTTTGTAAATCTAAATTGGGTTTGGATAAATCTAGAAATTCACCTTCTAAAATGTTATATGTAGAGTTCCCATAAAAGCTCTGATGGAAGGTGTCTACTTAAAAAAAAGTAGATTTATCAATTATTTGATTTAACTTTATAAAGGAGTTAAATTGAATAATTCCAGGAAAACTATTTTGAAGCCTGAATTAGTTTATCTGATTCTTCTGCATTAACGAAAGTATTTAAATATTTACTTAAAAAGCCACTTTTCCTATTTCCAGGTTTCCTCATTCAAAAGTGTGCTGAAAATACTGCGCATGTGTGAATTCAAGAATAACCAGGGAGTGGGCGAGGTCGAGGTTTGAATTATCCTGGTAAAAACATACTTTTTCCCATTTGTCTAAACATCTTGAATCCACTTTCAGCCAGTTGTACACATCATGAGGGGGAAATGTTTTAAGGGAGAATTTACTAGTTATCTCAACATTTCATTGGCAAAGACTGACTTAAGAGAGGAAATATACATTGAAAAATTAATTTTCTGACTTTGGCTTCGTCAAAATCAAACTACGTTTCATTTCCCAGTCACATGCCCTCACCGTAACACCTGTTTGGCGGTCTCTGTGATGCAGTGAGACACACCCGGAAACAGCCTCACTGAGTGCTCATCCTTCTGTGATGCGGTGAGACACACCCGGAAATAGCCTCACTGAGTGCTCATCCTTCTGTGATGCGGTGAGACGCACCCGGAAACAGCCTCACTGAGTGCTCATCCTTCTGTGATGCGGTGAGAGTTTCACTGGCATCACAGAATATGAGCCAGCCTCGTGAGCCTGTTTCGCGGGCGTGCGTTACCCGCATCACCAGAAGTGAGCACTCAGTGAGCCCGCTGTTTCGTGCGTCTCCACCTGCATCACCAGAAGGATGA